GTCCGTCTCTGTCGCTCGTTCTCTCTCACACACTTCCCCTCGGACCCCCTTCTACTCTTACTGTGTACATGTCGTTTACATGTCCTGTACATGCCCGTCGTACTCACTCCGTACACTGTTATCTTTCGATCGACTTCTTTGTTGTGTCTGTCATTTTACGTTTTACAAACCTCCTCCGTTCGTATTCCCCCGATTAACCCTTGGAGCACGAACGCTCGTGTGACGACGCGGCGTACGGATGCCGGGTCATTTTGACCCCTTCTTGAAACGTTGATTGTACGTGTACTTTTTTAAAAGGATTGGAAGGTTGCGAATACTCTGCGAGTATTGTATGATAACGGAAGGGGATAAATGTACGATGAACGTCAACCATTTTATTTGTATATTTTATATTAATAATATAGTTATTTGATCTACGAAGAGATGACAGAAGTTGTTTTAATGTTTTTATGCTTTTGACTTGTTCGAACCGATCATTTTGATGATTGTACCACTGAGGTAGATTGCGTTCAATTGCTATGTATTCTTATTTACATCTGCAATGCATCGTTGTTTATATTGACATCATAGGGAAAAGATTTGTTGTTCTTATGAAAACTTTTTAGCTGACTGATCAAAATGACTTGGCATTCGTTTGGCAAGGATTACAGGCTAATACTTCTTATTTCCTTTCCCTCTTTTAGTTTCATTTCCTTCGATATTGATATAAATCAACATCCAATTGTTTATTCACCTAGTTTCTGTGGATTTTATCTTCAGTTTGTTTGTAATTGTAATGTTGTCATTCTGGTTTCTTCTTCAATGTTTGGAATGAGATTTTCTTGAAAGATTAAGATAAATTATTGGTGGTTATATGTATCATTATTCTTGATGAATGTGAATTATATGTAGTATATACTGTTAAACATAAATATAATTATCATAAGACAAATAAACAGTTTTAGCTGTTATTATGGTATTTGTTTTTGTCCTTTTCATACAAGCACAAGTTTTATATATTTTAAATGTTGCAAACTTTTTAATATGACCTAGTATATTTAACTTTTTAACTTTCAATGACACTACTTACTGTGCTTTTAATGTTTTAAGAACTAAAGGTTTTATTCAAGGTAACATATTGTGTCACGTCTGAATTTATATGTGAATATGTAAAGATAGTGTATAAGTAATTGATACTATGCTTTTTGTACCTTTCTTTTGTCATTCTGTATTATCTTTAATCGATTAACTCGGTAACCGAACATTTAGTTTTAGATCGGTTCCACAAGAAACATTAATAATACTCATTATTTTTTCCTTTATCCTGTTATTATAATTTTATTCTAATTTCAGTTTACATGTTTATTTCATCCAGTAACCGAAACACATTTTTGATAGTCCGGTTCTGGTTCACACCTACATAATGATAGAATCCTAATGTTTTTTTAAAGAGATGTTACATTTTTGTATAAAATGTTTGTTATCTACAGCAAAATCAAAAACATTAAGTGGAAGATGTACGGAAAGTTTAAGTGGAAACCAAAATATTCGGAGGACAGCATCGTTAGATACTATCTACTTGAAAGGACAATGGCCCCGCGATTCATACTACATTCATTCCAGTTCTCTTTTGGTTGATAAATCTACTCAGGTATATTACACTTTCATGTTTCAATATTTTAATTTTTACTGTCAAATTTTCTGAAATATTTATCTTAATATTATATTTTTGTATGCAGACAGAGGAATGGTCGAATGAACCAAGGAAATTACACACTCGTCATCCTACAGAACAATCTACTACAGATGAGAAGTTGGAAAAGTACTTCAGGCATCGGTATATAAATTTTCTTTAAATTTTTTGTTTTCTGTTCATTATAATATTGATGAAAGATTAAACTAGGAATTTGTTGATCATACTTCAAAAATGTATTATCTTGTACTGTTAATGTAAAAATATATTTTATTAAAAAACAATTTATTAATAAGTTTATAATGTAGGTTACAGCGTACAAATAAGGAAGGCACTAGTAGTAGAGAACGGACAGCTGCATTTGGACTCATAATGCCTGGTGGGCCACCACCAGCCTTCCCTGCAGACCACACAGTACTTCTACCCAGTATTGCTTCACAAACACCAATACGTAAGTTCATTTGTTGCCTTTCAATTATACCTAAAGTATTTCCTTTTATGGAATTATATTTACATGTTATTTTTGTTATTCTATTAGACAATCAATTTAGCTTGAGTACAAAGGCAAGTCCTATGAACATCCCTATGAAACCAATGAGGCCGCCAATGCGTTCTTCTATCGAAGGATTAAATCAAGAAATTGAAGGGCTCGTTCTTAAATCTACAACTAATCCTAGTGATCCTGATCATCCAGTGGAAGACAAAGTAAGCGATATATTTAATACTAACTCAATAAATTTTTATAAATACAACGATAAAACTGATTTGAATTGAAATGTTTGTTTCAGTATGCGCGATATCGTGAACAAATTACGCCGGAAGGACATCGTGCGCCGTTAGCAGACTTACTGAGGGCTACTCGCAGCGTTAATACACAAACACCAGCTACAGACCTTCCCTCCAGTTCTTATTCTTCAGGTAATTTCAAAATTATTAGTTATTGAATACTAAAGAGTTTCTAGGTATATGAGTTCTAATTACCAATGTTTTCACACTGCTTGTATCCATAGAAACTTTATGTTTAAGTTATGAAAGAGTTTTAATCAAAATTGTAATTGCATCTAATACCTACTTGTTACTGATATTCGTAACAAAATAATTTTTTGGTGAATCTATAAAGATTTAAATGCATATTTTATTAAGAGTATATGTATGTGAATTATTTCTGGTTACTGGAAATAATATAAATAACAGACTAACTATGGTGTGTGCCTGTTGAGACAGGCCCTCCATCTAGGAATTCTGAGTCTCCGCTGATTCCTGGTCTTATGGATGCCTCCCGTCCGCCTAGCGATCTCTTACAAGGTTGGCTCATATTTGCGGAAATGTTGCTTTTATCTTTTTTCTGAAATTCCTTCAACTGAATTTGTTTATCTTAGTTTATTTTCATTGAATGCCCTTGTCCAGATAGTTAATGAGATTTTATACGTCTATTATCAAATGTTTTACTGTTTCCAAAGTATATATTTTGCGAAATATTTACGCATAAATATATGTATATTTAATTCTGAAGTATGCGCATGCACTGTTTTACTTCGAAATATAAAGATCACGTGTATTTTATAAAAGGTTAAAGTATCAATTACTATTTAATAATACATCTGAAATTATTTTCTGATTTTATGTAGTAAATTATAGTATATCACGCGGACCAAAAGACTTTATCGTTTCATGGAATACTAAATGCCAAATTGAATGTACACTATACATTATGACATTACATGGTAAATTAATCTGTTCTTTATAAATTACAATGTACATTTATATTACTGTTTATTAGTATATTCGTGGCTGCATGCAAGCTTCATTTTATATAGCTTTTATATATGTTATATACTTTAAGAAATTCTTTTTTAAATCATTTCAAGTGTAGATCACTATTAAACGACCTTCTATTAATATACTTTATTCATTAGAATGTAATAAATTTCTATTATAGTCGAAAAATGTTATTGCGATAGAAATGGAAATTCAATACTTTAAAGTTGCATGTTAAAACACATACTGTAAAATATTACACAAGTACTAAATTAATTTTGTAATTTCATTCTTTACTTTTCATATATGATATATGATGCGAAATATGTATCATTTTTGTAGAACAAAATGTACTTGCTTAAATTTGTTTTTACATATTTGTATCGTTAGCAATGCGGAATGAAGTCTCATTTCGATATATAAAGTTATTTACATTTCATAAAAATGTATCTGTTCATAAATGCATTGGGTGATTTATGTTGTTAGCATGAGCTTACGATATTTGTTTCCTCAATTGCTGTAAAGAGTATATTTATATATTGTTTTTATATTGTTACTAATCTAGTTATTTTAATTCATCTTTAAGGTGGAAGTCGTGGTTCAACCCCTGAACAAGACAGAGAAGGACGTCTTGGCACCTCTCCTCACATTAACAGGTTCCTAGCAAGAGAACCACCTGATGGCTGTGAGAAAGTCAATCTTAAATTTGTAGAGGATGCCAGGTAATTTCACATACATATTTATTTTAATATACTTGTAGGTAACTCAACATTTATTGTTCAATATCGCGTCGCATGCCTTACCCATTTCTAAATATTACTTTTTCGCGAATAAGGTTGAATACATGCATTCATATATATATATATTTTCTTTTTTTTGAGCCAAAGAAGGGTTATCTAAATTTGCAAGCGTATCTCACATGATTAAACTGATTGAGATCATGAAATATAGAGTGATGCCCGTTTAAATTTCACAAAACTCAGGAGCTGGTAGTGAAATTCTCGCGAGCAGGGTACAGTTTGTTGACTCAAGCACGGTTCGACGAAGTGAGAAAATAGGTATAACGAACGTAAAAGAGATAGAAGCAATATATCGAGTAGCGACGGTTGGGACTCGATACATCAAAGCTATACCGCAACTGAAAAAAACATACAAAAGAGAAAATTTCATTATCAGTAATTTTCTCCTTACCTTCATAAATGTTACACCAATGAATTGCTAAGGTTCTCCTGATTAAAATGAGTCCAAACATAACGCAAATTGAATTAGTTTTATCGATCTGAAGCATTCACATATTTAATTTTATTATTTATATAAAAACCGATAAAATTAGCCCGATTTGTATCTTATTTGGACTCGTTTTTATTGGAAGTTACGGAAAATGAAATTTTCTTCATTGGATGTTTACTTTTTACAGTCACGGCATCCCATTGATGTGTGTCTATTTGTTTTCTTTTCATTGTATTCATTTTCTATCCTTGCTTGCTGAGATGACTTCGTCGAGCTCGAGGGACTGACTGGTGGCAGAAGAGTGGGGATTAGTCTTGGAAATTTAACTGTACGGATTTTACTGAAATTTAAGCGGACATCGCTGTAACATGAATGTTTGCACGAATACTTCAGTATCACTGAAGCAATTATATTTCTATGCATAGGCGACCCATGATAGACTTGAGCAAACTAGACTATTGCCCAAAGCCGTGTGTAGCATTCCAGTTAAAACCTAGCTTGGGATCAGCGTTCCTGCCATTACAACAGCCAGCCAGTCCAACGATGGTTGCAAGTGCATCACCCTCTTCGCATACAACACCAACTACACCTCCTCCAAATCCATAGTCCTGCTCTTTACCTTATGGAATAATGTTTAAAAACCCAATTGGTATATATATATTTTTCTTTACCGACCTCACGGGTAGAAAGTGGTTTACTTTGACACGAAAGCATACACCGACAAAGAAAAAGTTACCGAAAAGCAGCCTGTTTTCAGTGCGACCCCAACTTTCGGGCATCGTGATTGTGTAATTAAAAAGAAGTTCTAATTACATCGATACGAAATATTGAATGACATCGGAGAGCTCCGTTAAAATGTTTGAAACAATAATAAAATACGAGGAACAATAATTTGTGATAAACTAAAAGGGAAAAGGAAAACGACATTTAGGAATGAACATTGTGTTCTACAGGGAAAAAGACTAATAAAAATTGTGTATTCTAAATTTAGTGCTAAAACGTGCTAAACGAGTTTAGTTTTGTATACAGGGATAAATATTCAATATGTCGAAAAGTATTAAATTTGATTGTTGGGAAAGGCAAAATTCTACTGATACAAAAATGGGTACATGTGCCTGGATTTATGTACATTGGTACCCCTCTATAATATTCTCATTAGATCTTTATCACTTTCGAATGATTCGATTTGCATAGTGAAACGAAAGAAAAAAATAAAACAAAAACACCTGTTAGAATTTTGTATCGTTTTGTATTATTACTCGTACGCTGAGAATATTCAACTTATTATTATATGAGGAGCTCGAAAATAGTGTATCCCTATGGTACATTATTTTTTTTTCTTTTAGACTTATGTTCTTCTTAGATTTATATACGTACACGCATTCTTTACCCTTTCTCTTTTTTTTAACGTCGCATATGTAAGATAAAGGCATATAAATTAATTGTCACGATAGTTCTTATTTTGTATTACGTGTACAAATGTGCACTTTTTGCATAGCTTCTCTTTTTATAGTGATTTCTTAGACTGTAAGGTTTCTACTTTGAAAGGTAAAAACACTTTGTTCAACTATAGTGTTCAGTGTCATAAAGCAACTTATGAAACTTAAGTTAATCGCAAGAGTATATTTTATTAATTGATAACTTTGTAGATTACCATAGGGTTACAAAATTTTTGGTTTAACTTCTATTATGTTAGTTTACTATCTGAATATGTACAACCAATACAGCATGTAATGACAGGTTGACGGATGTATGATAGTGTGAACCTAACGATACAAGGTGGAAATGTAATGAGTAATAATATGGAGAGTGGTAAGATTTAAACATTGATTGAGACAACAAGTAACGATATGTGCTTTAAGCCAGTGCGGTATCAGATGTGCATATAAATGGCTCCCTAACTTGGCACAGTATTGGTGTGACTGTAGGTTTTTGTATAAACGCGGATCGTAGTGGAAAAAAAAGTTTTATAATCTGCGTTCTATACAAATGACAGTATGCATGTGTTGTAATATCAGAATCCTGTTTAAACCATCCACGAATAACGTTGAAGCTCGTCGTACTACTGAAATAACAAAGATTTTGTACGAATGTAATGGACAGGACGAAACTTAGGAACTAATTTAATCACTCAAACTAACGCTATAGCATTTTAAAATATTTTTAACGCGCGGCCTGTAGAACGATTTTACTCCAATAAATTTCACGATTAGCAGCGACTTTTTAAATTTCTTTCGTACGATAAGAATAATCAAAGAAATATCAAATATTGTAGGAAATATTTTGATATGAACTACTCTACTCTGTACTAAAAGTAAATGAAAAAAAGGAAGACGAAGAAAATGAAGAAAAAACATGAAGAGTTATTCGTGCGATGGGTTAACTTATTATTTTAGTGTATGCAGACATAGCCACTCAAGAAGTTCAATTTATTTTTTGCTTTTTAATACAGAACGTTTTTGCAAACGATTTTATAGTTACGGTCTGAGGAATAAGGATCTTAAATAAAATATAAGATCGAGAGCAGGGAAGAACAGTTTTTTAAATACAATAGTAATATACTTTCTAATATTATAATGTATCTAGCTACAACAGTGAAGACGAAGAAGGAAAAAAAGAAATGTTAACACATAAAGTACCTGGCACACTGGTCTATGCTCTCTTTTATCCAGCTCACTAGGAAGTTCATGCCTTAGAATGCGTGGCAAAGTGTGCTAAATAGACAAGAAGGTTAATCAGAGAGTCAGGATATATACAAAAATGCACTGGCTAGTTAACAAGTATACAATACAAAACTAATCTGCTATCTACTAGCTTAAGAAGATTTTCTTTTATTTATTTTCGCTATGGACCTAAATGACATTATCCCATCGCTGTAAGAATACGTGAGTTGTAAACTGTCGAGTTTACTAGTGCTCCAAAACACAGAAAAAAAGAAGAAATAAGAAAAGGAAACGAGAGATAAAAAAAGAAACTTATCGATCGCGTATTTCATCTGTTGGCATATTTTCACTTCAACGGAGGAAAATAATGGAAGAAAAAGAATGTTTTAACGTAAACACATTGTATTAATCATAGTGACTAAAAGAAAAAAAGAACGTTTCATACTTTTACTAATAAACAGAGGAGGAAAAATTACTTTAGAGAAAAAAAGGCTAGCCTTATTATTTTTTACTACACTTAGAAGGCTCCACTTTTTAACCTTCATGTACTTGCATAATGTGTTATCATTGTTAAGCTTTTGTTGTCAATTCTCATGAACAGAGGAATGTGTGTAAAGACTGCTAACACTAAAGATTACCTGTTGTTTGGATATACCTAAATTTAAAACGAAAGAGAAAAAAAATTAGGCTCAAATTCGTCTCTCCGGTTACCTATGAAACGATATAGGGATATATACTCTTTTAATGATTCGTTAAGTAAATGATCCTTACGTGACTACTGTTCGGTACATTCTTTCTACATATCTAAAATCTGAGCAGGCTTCAGAATGGCAAAATAATTATGTCAATTACGAGTTCATTTATCCCTAGGACTGTCCAAACGTATCGTTGTAGTGTCTCGCCTAACAATAAAAAGAACAAAGAACGCAAACAAGCAACAAAAGGATTGTTGAGTGTACATTGTAATTTGTAAGATGCTCATGATACTTTATGCAAACGTTTTTTAGTGCATAAAACTCGTACGTTGTATAGTAAAAAAATTACTTAAAGAAAGACGGAAAAAGGAAAAAAAAGAATAAATTTTTATATATTTGGTGAAGTTAAACGCAGCTTTTATCCAATTGTTTTTATAATAAGTATATGAAATATTATTTATTACTTTTTTTTTTATTCCAAGCGTTGGGATAAAAAACCTTTTCGATGGAGTGTAATAATTCCATGTAAATTGTATGTAAATATCTATATAAATTTACAAGTGTCGATGGGATTCGATTCGACTGTTATTAAGGATTTTTATATTTTTAAGCATCCAATTGTTTTACATCTTCTAATGTATTACACTTTCGCATATAATATTATAAGCGGGGAAAAAAATCCTTTCTTATAATTGATTGTTCTGTGTGTTTATAGTACAGATTTATTTCTTAGTTTTGGCGAATTGTTCTATTTGTTAATGGACGCGGGAGTATCTTACAATGTATAGTCACAGAGGCAGTGCTAGCAAATTCGCAACGGTACATCGAAAATCAATAAACTTAAATAATACATTAAGGATCTATCAACTCTTGAATCTGTCCTAGGGCTAAATCAAAATTAGTCAGCGAAGTGAGCTAGTGGATGTAAATAATAATTTAAAGCCGTTTGACGATGAAACCTTTGTACGGAACGTAGTGACTAAGGCCAACGAATTCTGTACTTTTCGTGTGTCTCTCGCGAAAGTTCGTCGAACGAAAGGAAAGGAAAACTAGTGGATCAATGCGAACTTTTAAGAATGTGTATAAAAAAAAAGATATTACCACGAAACACTGGCCTGTCCATAGTCAACTGAGATTAGACTCCTTTTTCCGAACGGCACAATGCAATTATCAAAATCATAGTAAAACGTTAGCTTCTCTTCTTTTTTTTTATACATACACACACATACAACCACACATAAACATATACATATTGTACATATTAGTTTAAAATTTTATATAACATCAAAT